GTCGGTGCTGTAGTTTTTTACTGTATTGTGGGCATGTGGTTAGAATAATACGAATTGTGAAAAGGTGTATGCTTTTTTTTGTTTTAGTTTTGTTATTTATTTCCCTGCTTAATTTCCCGTTTTTCCCCCTCCCTCCCCCTTTCCCGGCCGTCACCGTTGAAGCCGGTTGGGGGGAGACCTGTGCCTCCGGGGGGCCGGGGGGGGGGGGGGGGGCACTTGGGTATTTTTTTGGTGGGTGTGTGCCGCCCGGGACTCCAAATTGGCACCCCGTTCTAAAAAAAATTTCCCCTAAAACTGATACCCCGTTCTAGAAATGGGCCAATTTTTTATACTCCGTTCTAGAAAGTTTGTAAATTTAAATAGCCCTGTTTTTTAGAAAGATATTTCTTTATGCGATCGACTTATACATCAAATAAATGCTTCTTCATAATCAGCAACAATTTTAAGCAAAAGGTAAAGCAGTGATCCACAATTTTTTCTAGAAAACGCCTCTGAAATGGATACCCCGTTCTAAATCAGGAGCTTCAAAATCACGACCCCGCTGGGCGGCACATACCCGTATAGGTAATGTATGGGAGTACCCCCCCTCCCCCGGGTGTAAACCTTTATATAGACAGAAAACCGTTTACATAAAAAGCCACAAAACGGCCATAAATCGGCCAGTGGACTACACAAGAGAGACGTAACACACATTTTAAGTAAGGTAAGCTGTTTTTTATTGAAATCCTTTCATTTTCGTAGGTTACAGAAACGATAGGTTTTTTTCCCAAAAAATCCTTATATTTTGAATGTTACGTAACAATGCCGATGCTCATATTTCGAGCTTGGGCTACCTGTGGTGGTAGCTACTTAAAATTCCCTTTGAAACTCGGTCTTCTCTTGTTTTCGACAGTGTTATTACATAAGCGAACTCAACATTTTTAACTTCTTGAATAATATTTAATACCTTAAATGTTCCCCTTAATACGTGAAGCAAAAAATCTCGTAAAATCACTGATCAAGTCTAAGACGGAAAATTTGCTAATTCAGTCGTTTTTAAACTGTACTTAAGTTCTTATTCAAATTGTGTAAATTGTGGCGTAAAAAGACCACGAGGCCCAGTTGTTAAAAAAACTGGACAACGCTATCCATGCACTAAATCGTTACAATGTAAACACAAGAATAATAGTAATAATATTTAACATTTGTATAGCGCAAATTAACATACAGGAGGATATGATCAAATGCGCTTTACATATTAAAATTGAATCCAAAATTACTATGTTACCTATTTACAATTTTGAATTTACAATAAAATACGAAAGTATATACTATAGGAAACACTAAAAAGAAACTATGAATTAAACGCTTCTCTAAAATAGTGAGTTTTAAGCAATGACTTAAAGGTGTTAAAATTTTGCTGTGACTGTAATGATTGTGGGAGACTGTTCTAAATCTTGGCGGATGCATTGGAAAAGGCTCGATCGCCAAGTTTTTTTTTTCGATCGTCGACGTCGTGAATGGTCTTACAACTGGATACTGGTGTTTGAGCGGAGGTTGTATGTCCAAGTCTTCTTGATGGCAACCATGCTTTTAAGATAATTGGGGGCGTGTCCATGAATGCACTTAAAACAGAGCATAGCAATCTTGAAATTGATTCTAAACTTAATCGGTAGCCGTGAAGACGTATAAATGAAGATGTGACGTGTTCATGTATTGGCAATGAGCACATTAATCGGACTGCCGCGTTTTGCACCTGTTGGAGCTTGCTAAGGTCCGTAGCGGCAACACCATGATAGGCTATTGCAATAGTCTATTCTGATTAATCGACTTTAGTTCTATCTTCAAAGCTAAGAAATCTTTTAATACGCCCAATATTATGCAGATGGTACAAACACAGGATTACTATGAGGGAGATTGATTTTGCTAACCACCAGAAAGTGATTTATCCAATGCCCTTTTTGGGGCTTTCCACCTCAGTTCTGAACAACTGGGACAGGTTCCAGGTTTATATTTACAAAGTTACCATCACGGTCTATTTTCAAGGGTTC